ATAACCAAAACAGCATGGTACTGGCATAAAACAGACACACTGATCAATGGAATAGAATAGAAAATCCAGAAATCAACCCATACACCTACATCCATCTGATCTTTGACAGAGACACCAAGCCTATACCCTGGGGAAGAGACTGCCTCTTTAGCAAATGGAGGTTGTTGGAAGGGAGGGGGGAGAGGGGGGGAGAGGGAGGTTTTGGTAATGGGCCACAGTAATCAACCATATTGTATATTGATAAAATAAAATTAAGTTAAAAAAATATATATATATTGATAACAAAAATGTAATACATTTATTATTAAGTAAAAAGACATTCTGAAGTAGAATAAAAATGCAAGGGAAAATATAAATATGATTTAAAATTAAAAATTCTTTTTTATATGTACAAAATAGAAAATTATTGCATTGGGTGTAACTAAAACCATTAATATTCTTAACAAAGAAATTGTTACGCACTCCAATAAAAGCAGATAAATTTATTATGAACTTTAATGGTTAGTTTTACAGAATAGTACTCATACATAGACAATAAGCATTAGAAAATATATATTTTACCTGATGAATGATTAAATGAGTACAAATCAAAACAGTAAAAGTACTATTTTTTCTTATCAAATAAAGAATGGAAAAACTTCAATATTCAATACAGGATAGGGTAAATGTAATGAATAATCATATACATAAATGCTGAGAGCATAAGTTGATCCCACATTCTTTTGAAATTTTGCATATGTGTGTGTGTATACCCCACACATATAATCTTAAAAATATTTATTTTTCTTAAATTTTTCCAAAAATATACATTAATTAAATAAACAATTTGTATTAAGTATAAAAACATTAATCACAGGGTTATATATAATGGCACAAAAATGTAAAACATCTTAAATCTCATCACATTAGTATTCTCATCCATGTTTGCATTCTCTCTCTCTCTCCCTCCCCCCTAGAAAAAACTGGGGCAAAAAGTGAAATAACTGACCCAGATTAACAGCAGTAGTCATTGGCAAGCAAGAAAACAACGGCTGCATTTTATTCTCTTTTCCATTGTTTTTTATAATTTTTTTTCATAAGCACATAATCCCCAAAGATTTTTTTAAATGAGAGCATATGCACATACTAATTCTAGAAATTTGATTTGCTAAGAATAAGTGGGAAAGTATTTTGTCAACACACATCAAAAATTCACACAAGGGTTAGTATACTTTATCCCAGCAATCCCACTTCTAAGACTCTATCTCAAGAAAAACACAGCAAAATGTGAACATATATTATTTTAATACTGGAGATAACATGCACTACTCATAATAATTCTAGTTTTGAAAGTATGTATGTAATATTGTCACAATTATTTATAAGAAAAAGGAGGAAGACAATGTAGGAGAAACAAGACCTACATCTAATTCCCAGGTTAACAGCTGAGAGATATTTGGGCAAGTTAAAA